TCAGCAAGAGAAAAAGCCCAAGATATGAGTTATGAATTAGAGACATAAACATAAAGCAGGTGCAGAAGTTCAAATATGTGGGAAGCATTTTAATAGAGGATAGAGAATGTGATCCCGAGATCCGAACATGAATTGGAATAGCAAAAGAAGTATTCCAAAAAGCTAAACAAGGTGCCAAGAAATAGAAAAAATTTCATTAGAAACAAAGAAAAGAATTCTGGATTGCTATATGATATCCATCTTCTTATATGGCAATGAATGCTGGACAATCTCTCCATGGATGAGGAGAAAACTAGAGGCAGCAGAAATGTGGTTCTACAGAACAATAATGAAAATTCCATGGATGGAGAGAGTAAACAACATGGAAGTCTTAAAGAAAATGGAAATAGAAAGAACGCTTCTACTCAGGAAAAGGCAGCTGAAATTCCTTGGACACATAATGAGGAAGGAAGGCTTGGAAAATTTAACCTCATGAGGCATATTGAGGGCAAGAGAGCTAGAGGAATGCAGCATGCTACTTGTCTGATGAGCTTGTGTGAATGCATGTGTGGGGGGGGGCAGAACAGTGGGTGGTTGGCTTAGTAAAGAGAAATACTAAGAGCAACATAAGATGGTAATTTGTGGAGAGTCATGATTGCCTATGTCCTGAAGGGATGTGGCACCTAGAAGAAGAAGAAAAATTAGTTTGTAATGCATCACCTTCCACATAATTGAAATGAGCAGAATGACAAATTAATTGGTCAAAAAAATTAATAATGGATGTTTTTTGAATAGAAAATAATTTGGATAAAATCACATCAGTTGGAAGTGAGTCACTGGTCACCTGTGTCTGATTTCAACGTGTCCGTCATGTATATAATTAGTAAATCAAGATCAGTTCATTTGGTAAGTTTCAATAAGTATACCTGAATCTCATTGAAAGTGCAAGACAGCAGCTGAAGCAAAAATAGCAGTAATAGAAAAATGTTCTTACCAATGAGAAAAATAAAAGGGAAGGATAATTAAAACAAGAAACAAAGACATTGATGTGTTAAAAATAAATCCTTAACTTATTCGTTGCCATTGGTTTATTCATCAGCATAAAATTCATCTCTAAGCAGAAACTGTCCACTTTATACGTTGGGTGGAAACAAACATCATTTTTTTTTTCTCTTTTCCCAGAGCTACTAAGTAGCAAAGTATCTCTATGTGTGAGAAAATAAAGCATTCTGATTACAACAGCTCTCATGGTTTTTAAAACAAAAAATGTAAGCTTATCAACAACTTGACAAAACAAAGAAAGAGAGCAGACCCCACTTTTTGCTGTAAGCAAATCTAAGAAAAAACAAAAAGAGGACTTATAAATCCGTAATCTTCTTTGTATGCAAAAGCAGTTGAAAACAGGGATTTACTAAGTGTAGGTGAGATGTGGCACTAGGCTGCAAGTATGAAAAATCCAGTGAGGATCAAACTCATTACTCAGTTTTAACTGACCTAGCAAGACAAACTTGTTAACCATTACACTATCTCGTAATGCCCAAAGGCAGTTAACGATGAACAGAAACCTTCTCTGTTTCTAGTATTTAGAAGAGTCACAAGTGGTGTTTGCTTTGCTACTAACAAAGTGCCTTTGCTTTCTCTTAAATTCATGATTGAAAATACATTTTTTAGGAGTAAAATACCAAAATTTGGATTAATGGGGAAAAGTTTGTCCAGAATACAAAGAGAAGAATATTTTAAAATAGATGATAACAACAAAAATGTAGCTTTAACTGTTTATTTGCACCTGTAGTCAAAGGCATTAATCTGTGTATAATGCTATTTTTGTAAACAAGAGTAAACTTTTCTTTTATTCTCTAATCTACATACAAAATAGGTATCTGTATTCTTTCTCATTTCCTCAAAGGTGAGATCTTTTGAACTGATATCTATCTATCTAGGATTAATACAAATATAAAATTTGTCTGTCTATATTTCTGAGGTGAGGTAAAGTAATTATTTACACTATTTACATTGCTTGGACTGTTGTCTTTATCTTTGTTGCCATATTCACAATGTTTCAGCCTTGTACACTCCTGCCTTCTTCAGGATCTGTCTATATCTCTGATATGGGGTATTGTAATTATTTACACTATTTACATTGTTCAGATTCTTGTTCTCATTTTTATTGCCATACTAGCAGTAGAGCCCGGCGTTGCCCGGGGATGTAACAGTAAGAGATAGATCAAGTATCGACCATCATAAGGACTGAAAAATAAAATTGACAAAGATTATTGTTTAAGGTTGACGGACATGTGTGTCTTAATTAGTTTTTTTTTTGTTTTTCTTTTTTTTTACGAATTGGTCAAACCCAAACTCAAACAAAAACATTGTTTTCAATCATTATGAGTCTATCGATTGAATAGAATTTTATTATAAACAATTGTCTTGTAAATGGAATTTTTAAAGCATTCTGAATGTAAAAATAAAGAAAAAAGTGTGCAAGACAATAAGAAACACTACCTGCCAAAAAAAAAAGTGAAGTTTTGTTGAAATCAGTTGAAAAATGTAGGAAATCCGATCCCATATATAAACGAACACACACAAACAACCAATCTGGCTTTTATAATAAGTATATCTCAATAACTTGATATTAATAAGTATAACTCGATATGAGTTGTCCCCCTTTCATTAATGCCTCTTAATCGTGTTTTCAAATTGATTTTGTGCAAAAACAATTGTGTTTTTCCAATTTTGGGTGCTGTCAGAACCACCGCAAGGTAATTTTATGTAGTCCTATGGAGTTTTGTTGAAATGGGTTGAAAAATGAAGGATATCCGATCCAATATATAAACGTACAGACACACACACACACACACACACACACACACACACACACACACACACACACACAATCTGCGTTTTATAATAATAAGTAAGATTCATAACGTTGCTAGGCTACAAAAATCTCCTAAGCTAGCCAAGCATAGACATGACTACAATATGGGAACCAGTAATATAGAGAGCTAAAGAAATCAACAATAAAAAAAAAAAATTGTAATATGAGCTCTGGTAAAAATTAATGATAGGACAGATTTATAAGTCCTAAAAATTCACTCCCCAAGGATATACGGTGCAGTGGATAAAAGTGTTGGTTGATGATCCAAAAGAGACTTAACCAAAAGAGTTGTGATTTCAATACCTAGCCAAAATTTGAGAGAGTTGAGTTATCAGGGGGAATTAACTCAAATTGAGATATCCAAAGGCATGAAACATGGAATTAAAACAATCTACCTGTGGATTAAATAAAGAGTTTAGTTCAAAATTCCAATATATATCACCTGAAGAAGGTCAGAGTGTACAACAGACTAAATGTCATGAATATGGCAATAAAGTAACAGTCTGAATATTGTAAATAATGTAAATAATAAAATTTGTCACTGAGCTGATTGATGTTATATTCAACACCCTGGCTCCAGAGTTTTGTAGACAAAACTTTTTATAATCATTCAGTCCATTTGTCAGGAGGTTTTGGCAATTGAGTGATGATTTTCTCATTTTCCTTATTTTTATATTAATTTATGTGCTTAGGTTTGTTTGTGTGTGTGTGTGCATACATGTGTGTATGTGCATATGTTTAGAATATTATGATTATTTAGCCTTTTCATTATTTTCTTGTCTCCTTATACTCTCTCCTTATTTCTTTTCCTTCTCTTTTTCTCTGGTTTGGTTTGGTTTACAGCATATCAACCTCAATGAGTTATTCAATGCTGACAAAAATTTTATTACTGGTAATATTTTTTTTTTCAAAAATGTATTGCTGGTAATAATTTTTTTTTCAAAGTATTTCTGGTATTAAAACCTATTTTTACACTTTCAAAGTGTTTTGACCCCAGTTTGAGGATTAACTATTTGCCCATAGCTGAGACCCTAACAGATGCTACCACCGTGGGTCACAGCAGACCTGTGAACACCAGCAATTAAAAGGTGGTTCCACACTCCTCAAAACTTACTGATCAGAGGTTTTGCTGTTGGATGTAGTTTATCATCTTATCCAAGATGCAGATATAGTTTATCATCATACCCAGGACAGCTTTTTTTTCCTCTTTTATGATCTATCTGTTCATTTACATAGTGCCTATTGGCACATAAAGCCTCCACAGAAAATCTTCATTCTTCCCTGTCCACAGCTGTCACTCACTCCAGGATTGCCAGCCCACTGCTTCACACTTTCCTTTTTTATAGTTTCTTTGCCATGTTTTTCTTGGTCTTTCTCTTCTACATTTTTCTTCAGCAGCCCAGGTCAGTGCCATGTTGCAGTTATTGTTTGGGTCTTACATTACAAAGTAATCAATAAACCCTCATCTTCTTCACTGTAACTTGACACTAAGGGGTTTTAAGGAGGCACACTGGAGAAGTTCTGCCATTTTCACGCATGGTCTTGCTGTCTAATCTCATGGATCCTTCTTAAGCTTTTTTTATGAAATAGGTTGATAAACTTGTCATCTTGCCAATTCATTTTCTAGGTCTTCCAGCTATATAATAAAATGGGGATGACCAAGGCCTTATGAAGCCTGATTTTGGTCCTTTATGTTTGAAATGATTGTGGTGAAGACAAACATAGTTGTTTCCCCTTCAAACTACTCAAATATAAAACAAATGGTTGAACCTCACTTATGGTCAGTAGTCAAATTGCATTGAATAAATTTTCATTACAAGCTTAAATGTTTATCTGGTTTTCTTTACACTGATATAAAAAGTAATAAAAAGAAATTTGGGAAATTAAAACTAGCAATAATGCAGGAGAAATTAATAGAGCTATTCCGTTACTGTTATTCTTTCATTCATTAAGATCTAAAGATCACAGGAGATACTTTTTCTCAAACATAGTATAAAATTGATTAATGATTCCAAAAAGGTTTAAACAATTTGAAAACATATATATTTACACAATACTTTACTGTGCCTACTTTTATGAACAGAACTAATCTCTAAGAAAAAAGCTTATAAATTGTATATTGAAACTTGAGGCTTATCACCACATCATGTTGAAACACTGGTTCCTATACGATCAGTGAAGTTAAGCAACATTGAGCTTGGTCAGTGCTTAGATGGTGACTGCTTAGGAATACCAGGTGCTGTAAGCTTGGATGTGGGGGTGGTGTAATAGATAATGGCACAGAATTGTTAACTGGAGAGAGCCGAGTTCCAATTCTCATTGGGTTTGTTATATTCACTTATGCTCAAATACCCTTTTCTCTCAGCGATGGGTTAATTAATAAGACTTGTATCACTAAACCATTATTATCTAAAAAAAAAAAAAAAAAATCTTACAATATAAAAATATTCCCTGGCTTTAAATAATCTGTAAAGAACAAATCAATAAATTTGAAATTTGAAACGTAAATGAATTTCCTACTTTGATTGGCATTTTATAAGATATAAAGAGCTTGTTATAAAAGATTCTTAAATACAGAACTGGTGCTAATTTAGAAAACATTTTATAGGCTTAAAGTCCAAGTCATTTGTATAGAAAGCATGAGAGAGGTGTGAAGGAACCTGTATCTTTTTTTTTTTTTTTTTGTATTCTCCTCTGGGTGCAGAGTAGAAGTTTATATGATCAATTCTTCTATTTTCAATTGCATCTGTGAGGAATTGTCTTTTTATAAATCTTAAACTTTTGCTATCAAATGATATTCTATGTATGTGGCATTCATTGGTCTCAAGAGACCATGGATCTGCACTCAACGAGTTATGCCTCAGCTTCTGAAGGTGGTGCAAGCACACATGAGTGACAGTCTCGATTGTAATAAAACCATGTGAAAACGCTCTTCGCTGATGTCACTGTGTAGCTGTTTCCCTGTTGTGGTGGTGAGGTGACACTGTAGTGTCCTCTCCAGAGTGAAGGCCTAGACAGAGTTTTATGAGATATCGGTGGTTATCCATACACCATGTCTCTCCTCCCCATGACACCAGTGTTGTCCAAGGGAAAGATAGAGGCCAACACAGCTTAGAACCGGTGTTGCCGTAAGATTTGTCAGAAAGAAGTTGAGCATAACATCAGACTGTTTACTCCTGAAACCTTCTCTTAGATGGACTAGCCTATATTTACTGGTATATAAGACAATTTGCATTTAATATCTGTTGTGTAGTGGATTCACAGTGGAGGATTGTATTTGTACTAAGTCGGTCCTAAAATAGGTTCAACGTATAAAACGTTAGGAACTTGATATAATAGGTAATGACACAGTAATCTAGTTGGGGTGGCTGATACTTTAATATCCAACTAATGGTCATCTGACATCGACTGACTGACCAACTCACTGAGCCACTCAGCGACTGCTACTACTCCTACTTATTATAGGTGGGAGAGTATATTAACTATAGAATAGGTGTGTTCCACTATATCACAATATTATGGGGACTTGATATAAGTCTCTAGAGTATCTGGGTAAATACTGGCCAACTGGATATCTCAACTTCATATATAAGACTCAGAAGATTTTTTCATTTTTTTTTTTTTTTTTAATCAGTTTCACTCAAAGCAAGGCAGTAAAGTCCCTGAGACACAAGAGGTTACTGGGTATGGAAAGTCAGAAACAGAAACATTGCTAAGGTGCCAGAACAAAAGAAGAGTGATCAGGATGACAGGAGATAATGATTGACATTGAATTTAAATTTTCGAAGATTAAAGTTGGCTGGAAAGCATGGAGCTGGAAGGGAGTTCGGCAAGTGAGAAAAGAAACTGTTAGCATAAAATTTGTGGTTACATCTAGCCAACTTTACTTTAAATTGATGCAATCTCATTGCTAGTCTAGTACTGTGCTTAAATTCAAAGAGTCTAGGCACCATAGTGAAGAGCTCATCTGAACAATTACCATGAAAATATTTATAGAAAAGGCATAGGAAGGCAATTTTACAGCAGTGTGAAAGAGACTGAAGCTGAGACACCAGAACATTGCCAATAATATTGCTGATTCTTCTTTGGATTTTATCAAGGAGCTCTAGGTAAATAGCAGGAGCACAGACCAAATTTTGCAGCAATATTCTAAGAATGGGCGAATAGTAGAATTATAGATATATAAGATAGATTCTGGTGAGAAAAAATGTCTCACAGTACACAGTGAGCTAAATTTCTTAGCAGCTGACCAGATGATTTTTTTTCCTGGAAATATGCTATGAAATACAGGAGATAAATTAAAATTTTTTAATTAAAACCAGAAACAGAAAACATGGTTGCATAAAAAGAAAAAACAGAAACAGTTAAAACATTTTTACATTAATATTTATTAGTTTTGTTAAATACTGTACTCTTGGGATAACACATATTTTATAAGCTACCAGTAAGTTCTGAAGTTTTGAAATTGAAGCTTAGTTTAGTCTGGTTTAAGGTCACTAGTTTGGGGGGTAATCAGTATGTATTGAACTTTTGCTTCTAATATCTTTAAAAATGTTCTAAACTTGAAACCACAAATTACCTGTGCAATTTGATCAGGGCTACTATATAATGGCTTGCTGTATACAACTGTCTATTAAGGTGGCTATTTAATCCCTGTTGTAGACACTTGCTCAGGCATATTTGTTTTTTTTCAACATCCACAGAGCCAGTGCTCTTATACTGCAACTATGTTGTACCAACCTTAATTACAGTTTCCAGGAGTGAAAGCTCAATATGGCATGATTAGTAGTTGAACAAAGCCAGTATGTTCGGACACTCGGTCACAATGACTTGTGACTTTGTGCTAAGCACAACCATCAATGGGTTCCAAACTATTTCATCTACCCAATTTCACTTGTAAGGTTTGTGTCATAACGTGTTATTGTTTTCACACACTTCTCAATTGTGTCGCATGCAGGGATTGTCTCACCAACAATCACCTCCTTGACAAATCAACCATGGTAAGATTTGAAACCAGATCTTATGATCAGAATGCTAACATTGTACATACGTGACTATATGCATATATACAGTGCTATTAGCAATTGTAATAATAGAGAGAAAAAAAACTTAGAAATGAAACACCTTCTCAGATTTTTCTTTTACACATCCTTTTAATATGTCTGAGAACTTTGTTTTAAACTTTATAGTTATCATACATTAAAATTTCAAAATGAGCTGTGTAATTGTGTCCGAGCTATTAGTAATTTTAATAATAGAGAAAAGAACTAAAAGAAACACCTTCTGAGACTTTTCTCATTTAATTACTGAATATCCTAACCACATATTTTATGTCATTGTAAATAAAGCAAGAAAGTTCAAGTCAATAAAGCTTTTGCTTTTATCTTTTGAGAAAATTTATTCTGCAGTCTGTATGGGTTGAAAAACGAGTCACTTTTTTCCCAAACCAAAGCCAGAGTTTGGCTTCTCTCGGATAAGTTTTCACTTATATAGTATCAGTTTTTTGTGGCTTGTTTTGTTTTTTTTTCATTTTTTAAAATTCAATTAATAGATTTACAAGTGGTTCTGACCACCCCCATGTCAAGGAAGGATTCCACCCTTCCACAAATTCTGATGCTTGCTCAACTTTTGGAAAGCATGGTAGGCTGAGAACTTTTCAGCACAAGCTTTGTAGACCATCTCAAGTGAAAAATAATTTTTTATGAGAAAATTCAATCCAATGTAAATTGCTTTGGGAACTGTTGGAATTTTTTCCCAATCAATTTCTTCAGACATAAAATACAATGTGAAAAGTTGTTATCATGAATTATCCTAATAAGATTGAATGTCAAATATAAATTATTTAGAATCTATCGATAATTTTCAGAGGGATTTTCTTGTGTTATATAAATCCTTGTAAAGTATGCTAAACAAGTAAATTTTCTAAGGAGGGATTTTGCTGTGGAGAAATGGTTAACAAATTAGCTTTACAGATTTCTATTTCTGCAATGAGACTTGATCTTCACTTGGCTGTCGTATATACTTATAATCAAGTGCTATATGAAGCTAAACTTGGTAAATATTAATAATGAATGGAAAGAAAGCAAAATTAATATTTTTTAGAAACAGGTTTGTACTAATTTAGAATGATTACAAAGTATTTATGGCAATGTAAAGAAATCAAACCAAAATATAGTATCTGTTCTTCAAAGTTTGATAATGTAGCTGTATGAAAAATCCTCAACTGAAGAAGTCAGAAATGTTAAATTAAATGAAGAAAATATGTTAATAACAAAAAAATAATAGTCATAATCAAAATTACAAGTCATCATGACCGTAGTTTTGAGCATACTGGCCTTTTTTTTAAACTGTAGATCACACCAGATTATGTGCTCTCTTCCAGTAACTAATTTTTGCTCAGTATAGTTACAGTATAAACCACAGGTAAATTCTGTTGGTGCTGAACAAATACAAATGTGCCTGAACAGGAGTCTACAACAGGGATTGGCTAAAAATCCTAGTAGATGGGTGTGCTTGGAAACCAGTAGCCACCTATTATTATAATTTGGAAAGCTTGTATGAAACGATTGGTTTTCTAGATTGAACCACAGAAAAACAAATTTGCAAAAGTTATCTTTCTTAGTTAATTCTATTTTGTCATTGGACATATCAGAGAGTTATTTAAAGAAAAAGAGATTTTAAAAACAAACTATTTGTATTATTTCTATTTGGATTAATGTCCTTATCTTTGTTGTCATGTATGGATGGCTGCTCATATCCAAGCATGCTTGTCTGCTGGGTGAGTAGGTAATCCCATTGCAGACACCTGCACAGACATATTTGGGATTGTTCAAACAACCTGTGGTTTATATTGAAATTATGCTGAGTGGATTTTAGTTAAGGTTTTTGGGAGCGAGTGCATAATCCCTGCATGAACACCAGTTTGCAGAAGGCCAGCATTCTCAAACTCTCTGTCACAATGTCTTGTAACTTCAAACTAGCATAACCATTGATAGCTTCTGAACAGTTTTGTTAATCCAATTTCACTTAGAAGGCTTGAGTCAGCCTGTGCTCTGGCTTTCAGGCACTTCCCAACAGTGCTGCACATGGATTGTCTCCCCAGGCCAACATTATGAAGAAGTCACTTTCTCAACAAATCAACCATGGTGAGATTCGAACTCAGGTTTGATGGCTGGAATGGTAATGTTCTAAGCACTCACTAGATGCCCATGTTGTTAATATAACAGTAAAAATAAGAACATTAAGC